CCAAAGCAATGGGAGGGTGAAAAGTTTACTGGGAAGAATTCTTCCCAGTGCCCACGAAAGGGTTACAACTTTTTGGACAGGTGCCTAAGCTTTCCACGGATATCATCAGTGCTGCATTGCAAGATTTCACGAATTAATGAAGACAAGCGAGGTAAAGGGATGGAAAAGAGGCCGGTCGATAAGTTCTTCCTAAAGGCCTGTTTAGACGAGCCATGATCAGTCAGGAGTACACTCGGGAGTGGCTTGCAAGAGTGTAGCCGCTTCGTCTAAATTAAGCTGAGTGACACGTAGGTGAGAAGAAAAAGATCGCCTGCTTTTCTTCTGAGAAGTGCACCCTAGCGCGTTTTCATAGTTATGACTCAATCTGCGCTTTGGATATGTCCCAGAAGTATGATTCTTGGAGTCACGAAACATTTACAGGAATTTTTTCGATCTAGAAAATCGAAAAAAAAAATTCATGGAGCTGCAAGCTTACCGGAGGGGCTGTGATTTTGATGGTGGTAGCCGTGCAAGTAGAAACCTTCATCTTCTCTATGTATCGTAAAACGTTCGTTGTCGTAGGTGCCCGCCACGTGCCCTGTCTCTTCTCTTCAATAAAATAAGAATGACAAAGAAGCCGGTGGCATGATTGCATGGCGAAGCAGACCACATCCAGTGGAAACTTTTGTACTACGACGTTCTGCTCCCAACAAGCACCATTAATAAATGTTTCACCATCTTCCTCGTCTGAGTCTAGCTGGTTCATTACTATTGGATGAAGAAGAGCCAAACTTACAAGCCTAGTAGAGTTCTCGTTCTGAATTTCAAATCCTCAAACCTCTGAGGATAAAAAATGAGGTCGTGTCTTCGCTTTCCTACCAATGATACTGAAAAATCGAGAGGGGAATCATGGTGGCAAGCGGTGATTGTTGTCATCTATAAATCACGTATCTAAACGTTTCATGAGATGGAGTTCTACTCGGATATATGTACATTAGCGACATCTATTTGTATAACGGAATGATGTTCTATCCCAAGGCAACCAGAGATGGAGGCAGTTGGTTCCTCCAGGTGACTCCAACCCGGTTTCGCTTTGGTTCCTTAGAGATCCTGGCCAAGTCTGTCATTCAGCTCCGCATCACTCATCTCCACTCCTTATGCGTTCATTGCTTGCCTTGCCTCGTTTCCCTACGTTATTCCGATGCAAAACCAAAATATTGCCATGCTAGCACTCATCGCTCTACAGATAGTTGAACTCCTTGCAAAATGGATATGCATCGAACGTGTGCATGGACTCCTTAATACTTCCGAGTCCGATGTCCTTACATATACGTCATTGCTGATAAGGAAAAAAATATACGTACATATACGTTCGCACTTACACACGTATATCCCTATGCTTACTTTTCGTAATAAAAATAATTATCTTCATTAAGTTTCATACAAGTTACGACTGCAATGTAAAAAGAAGACAGCTTGAAAATGACTAGTAATTTGCTGGCTGTGATATTAAAATGTAAACAAATAAATACCCAAGAAACCACGAGACTAAGGTTCCCAGAGTAAACTTAATGCCTTCTTTTTACATTTTAGAGAAGAGGATGAAAGAGAACAAATAATTGGTTAGATTGCTCCGGCACACAATGAGGGACGTGCAGGGCAACTTCTCGGTGGTTTAAGGATGATACGTTGAGTCAACCGTTTAAAGAGCAATCAGAAGCCGAGGAGGCATATTTTGCTCAATCTAGATGTATCTCTCAAATGCAGCTCAACTGTTTCAGCTAAACTGGAACATTAGCCTCAACTGAGGTTTCCAATAGAGTTATTGTTTGCCAGGGTCTCTACATGCTTTGAAAACTTGGCACGCGTCGATACAGGAGGGGAGAGGGGAGACATCCGCCCTTCCATGCCCACGTTCGCAATCTATTTTGAAATGTCTACAAATTAGGGCTGTCAATTCGATTAATTTAATCGACCGATTAATCGATTAAAGTATTAATAGCGATTAAAAAATTTAGTCGAATATAATTGAATTTTAATCGACCTTCTATTCTCCCCCTATATGCCTATTTTCCCCTTATAATTTAATCATACTGTACAATGTAATTTTATTCAATTAATCGATCGATTAAGTTAATCGAATTGACAGCACTACTAAAAATCAACGAAATTTCTTTTAGTAAACTATTTACTTTCCTCCATTTCTCTTATATACAGTATATATATGTAGTCGCCCCCTCCAATGAATAATTTGTGTATCCGCCACTGCATTAAGGGCATCTACATCATTCGTATTGACTTTGAATCTCCCCACAGAACTAGTCTATGGGGCAAGTCCATTGAGCATCCATGAAGACTTTTTTTTAATCTAAAAATAGTTCCAATCGCATGTTCTGCCAAATTCAATATACTCCGCGCTCACAACAGATTAAGCTAAATCTGAAGCTGGAGGATTGCTGGAGTAGAACTCTCCTGGGAAATTGCAGAACCCCCCCCCCCCTCTTGCCTGGAGGACAGTGCCACTGGTTGGAAACTGGCTGGTTGCCACATTCATCATCCATCGCACTCCATTTTTCTGCCGCTAATTCCCCCCCCCCCCCCTTAGCTTCAATTAATGATTTTCGCATAACTGCTATGCCTTGGAGGACACTTTGGAAATGCTTTAGGAGTCATGGAGGGGAAATAGGCGATGTTGACCGGAGTTCTATGATAAAGTGCTAGGGGTTAACATTCCTGGTACTTTGGGATTTAGCAGTTACAATGCATTACAATAAATGATGATCTCCAATTTTCCTACTATAAATTCAATTATGCCATTCCTATTGTGTGGAATTCAAGATGAAAGTTAAAAAATCATACATAATTCTGGACTTGCAAGTAAGTAAATGTGCATTCTCTTCTTTCCTTTTTGTCGTCTCTAAGATTTCCATATAGGGTAAATCGATAAAGGATGAATAGTTCAGGAAGCTTCATAGATGCAGAATTCCATTCGAGGACCCAAATTCAATTCTTTCTCTCTTGGACCGTGAAGATAGAATAGATCAATGGATGGGGGATAAAAGAAGAGGAAAGAGGAGATACATTCACTCATGCAAGTGACAGTGTTGACTGCCCGATTTTTGTCTGTCTGCGGGAGTCTTGACTCGGACAAAGGTTTTCAATTTTCTTTTGCTGTGCCTCATGATGACGCATGAAAATTCCCTCTGCATCTTGAGGGACCTTTTCACACGATGACATTCGGAGAGTTCATGACTGGGAATCTTTTCCTGGAAGAGCGAAGAACGAGATCGACCTCCTCTCTTAGAAGAGATGCCAAGAAAGACAAAGAAAGAGAAAGAGAGAAAAGCCAAGGGAAAGTGAAGAAGAATGAGTTTATCTGTTCCTTCCTTCACGGAGGTGCACGCGAAGGAAAATTTATTACTCTACGGGTCAGAACAAATCACAATTGCGAGAAACGGTTTATAAGGAGAGAAAAAAAAAATCGTACTTAAAGCTTTGCATTATCAGTTCAATGCATTCGTAGTCCCTCTTGAGGAATACATAATAGTGACCTGGAAATGCAAGGCAGTATATTTTCGTTTATCAGTTGCTTTCCCGATCATATTATGAATGAAGAAAAAGCAGACACCTCTTCAAGGCACTTATCCATGGTTTCTCTCTTAAAAATATCAGCCTTGTGATTTTGCGAACAATCCTTTGAGAATTAGTTTTTGATACTTGGTATCTGCATGATAATTGCATGCCCAACAGAGATCGAATCGAGAATACCTTCCCACAAAATTCCTTCGGCAAAAGACAATTACCTTCGTGAATTGAAGTGCTAGTTGCATACGTTTGCCGAGAATGGAATATTTTCTGGCTAAGGTCTGCAATTACACTATTCCAGGAAAAAGTGAGAGCTCTCTCCTCGCTTGAGTGCATATTGCCCTCTCTTTCTTCGTTCATAGCTTGAAATTCCAGGCTTCGATAACGACGATTTCTTTGTGGTTGAAAGGTCTCTCAATTCCCCTTGATTTAGGATGTAATACATGACGACTCATGAAAGAGTTTCGATAGGGCGATCGAGGAAAGATATTGAAGGGATCGTCCCGTCTGCTACAAATCCACCGCGAAGTTTTCTTTTGGAATAAATGTCATCATTGCTTGCTTTTAAATATTTTAGTGATAAATTAATAATTAGCCAAAATCAAAAGAGCGCACCTTGTTGGACATTTTAGTATTTAATGTCTATTCCTCGGATGTGTGAAGGTGTTTTGCTCATCATAGCCGTTCCGTTTTGTGGTATTCCACATTTGGTGCACACGTGAAAGTTATGCTGGAGAACTGGCGGTCGTTGGGAAGTCGATCTTCACCTAATCGCTCTTCTCATGGTGCAGGAAAAGAGACTGACTAATGACGTTTCAAGCAGGAAATGTATGAATCGGGACCTCTGAATGAAGAAGAAAGCCAAGTGCCAAAGGATCATGCTTCCAAGATCTATTTATGAGTACACATTCCTATAGAAGGAATTAGTTCTCTTTTCAAAAATCCACCCTCATTCTCGTTTCAGAATACATGGGTCATTTTTGTATATCTAGCCTTCCATGATAATTTCCAGTCAGGATATGCTATGGCTGCGTTCGACCTACTGCATAAACGCTGGACTCGAATCCCTCTCAGCCGCAAGGCCTGACTGGGCTAAACCAGAGATTTAGTCGATGTCACCTCTATTCCATAAAAACGTGAATATGCTTTGTTCCGTGGTCCTTCGTCGGCAAGGCATTCTTTGAAATTTTATTTTTTGGTGTAGGAAAGGAAGCATTCGAGGTGAAATGGCTACGGGGAGACGGAAGTTTTGTTTATTTCTCCAGGAGAAAGAGGGCGGGAAGATCGATGCCACCTCCGATGGGGGAGGCGCAACAAGTCCTTATGGATCGGTGCGCGCATGAGTCGTTCTGCTACCCCCTCTCTCCCTCCCCCCTCCGGTCACCTATCTCTTGCCGATTCTGAACATGCGCATTTTCCTCACCCCACCTGGCCTCCCGGGGCGGGGGGAAGGGTGACAGTGTCAGTCGGGTATGGATCCCCGTCGTACCCTGACACCCAGTGTTTCCTAGCTTTTCTCAGCATCCGATTCGTGATTAGGCTTCGGGGGTGGAGGCGACGGTGGTGGCGGTAGCAGTGGTAGTAGTAATAAGGTGGTGCTAAGGATGTATCGGTAAATGGATCGAGCCATGTCGAGTGAAGCACGAAGACTCAGTGGTGATCAGGGGGTGGAAACGAGAGAAGTGTTTGAAGTGGATTGGGAGAGCTTGGAAGAGGAGGAATTAGCATTTCCAGGATTCGCCCCCGTCGTCCTACGGTGCTTCTCCCAGGAAACCAGACCACGCAACTGGTGTCTTCGCATGATCACCAATCCATATCCTTTTCGTCTCTTGTTTTTATCCCTTTTTTTTGTCAACACTCAACCACATATGGGAAACAGATTTTCCCCATTGCAGAAAAAACGACGAAGCATTCTCGGGTATGTACTATGGTATACATCGTTTTGTGCAAGAATTCTAGGGGCGAGAATTCTTGAAATCAGACTTAATGTAGTAGCCAATCCACGGTTTTCGATTTGTCGCAAGAGATGTCTCTGATCGTTTCATACGTGTGAAATCTTCGCTGTAGATCAGTGAGTTCGTATGAACTGATTGCCACAGCTAGTAATACAGGCAGTGATCCCAGATCCCAAGAGCTTTCCTTCAAGCCCATAATTATACGAGGCTTCGGTTAGCAATTGATTTGAATATAGAACGCAGGAGGCGCAATGCCCATATTGCGATCCATAAGCTCACCTTTTCTGTCCTAAGAACGAGCGATGGACACTTTCATTTCGAGAGGGAAAGAAAGAGGAAGATGAGTGGTGCTTATTGCTCCACTGCTCCAATCGAGGAGAAGCAAAGGAAGAATGGGCGAACGAATGACCTCCCTCCGATGCCATCTTCCATCCTCTCCTCCTTCGTGTACATACAATACCCGCACATTGTACAGTGGATATACCGTATATATGCTTTGGCCTCCCTATGAGGGGCGGAAGGACCACAGACACGAGAGGGATAATTATATCGATGGCCCCAGATCTAGGAAGAGAGAGAGAGAGAGAGAGCCTGTTATGGTTGTCGGAGATTTCTCAGGGGAATTCATCGTAAAAGCCCCTCCCCAAGTTCTTCCATGCCTCTCAATGTCCGTTTCATCTCGATAAGAAATGCATGTGGGATATGCATCGTGATCTGGTTTGAATTGAGAAAGTGAAGACGGTCTGCAACTATAGGACATTTCTTGGCACCGCCATAATCTCCCTCTTCATGGAATATACAGGGTATTTAAGGAGTGACTATTAGGGATAAAAACGATGGAGGAAGCAAGTGAAACTTTGATCTTCTCTGAAACTAGTCTTTTTTGGATTATTTTTAGAACAGAAATGAAGCAGATGTTTTCCTGAAATAAATAGTATTAACAATGTAAGAATCTATCTACCATTCCCTTAATCACATCCTAGTTCTGCTAGAAACATAAGCTTCTCATGTTACTGTAGCAACATAGATCACGTCACTGCTCATTCTCTTCTGATTGTATATTACACCTCGGGAAGGTTACTTGCCTTTCAGGCATAACATTTTCCATTTGGTAACCCCATATAACGATCCAACCAGTACCTCAGACATGGCAAGTGGATGAGGTGATGGGTAATTCTGCGCAAAAAAGATTCTTTTAACGTCATGTCAAAACTTGTCATGAACCCAACTTGAAACATCACGTTCTTAAAAAAAAAAGCATAAAGAATGTAAGGTCTGCTCGTCCCCTTATAATTTTTGAGGTATTTACATTTGAAATTCAATTAATACTTTATTTGTAGAATTAAAGAAATGTATACGTGTAAATCATCTTTTGGAAGCCATCGAACTTTTTTTAAAGACTTTCTTCAGGAGTTTCTTTCAGAGAAAAGCAGGTTGTAATATAAATTGCACTCTTGAGTGGCAATTACAAAAATCTCGTCGCGCTGGGGTTATAAATGACAGTTGACCTCGAAGTAACGGCATGAGCAGTCGTCATTGTCAGAGCTCCTTGACTCTTGCAGGTCTTTTAGCAGTGAAAATAACTCGTCGTCGTCGTCATTGTGCATAGCGAAGTAGATTGACACTTTCGACAGGGTTGCCATGACTGGCATTTCCGTGCAAAGTATTTGGCGCATTACCAGTTTCGACCCCTTGTGCTCCTTTTCCGTCCTTATGCCACTTGCTCCATCCTCCTTTGCTTATTTTGCTCCTAACACCCGAGAATTTGCGTGGGCGTGTCAAACTGAACCACCCCGATCTTCTAAATCGTGGATAAAATAGATTTGAAATTTCATGCATGGAAACATATTCGTTTCCACCAAGAGAAATTTCCGAACGTGTGAAAAACAATATCGACCTTGGCCTATTTGCAGTGACGTGTAACAAACGTCGAGATTGTCGAACATGTTTAAGTTTCACATGGAAGCAGAGCCGGCCTTAGCTATTTCGACGTCCTGTGCAGAGACTCCCAACGCCGCCGCGCCCCCCCCCCCTCCCCCCTCAGAAGGGAGAAGGGTCTATCCCTAGCGTTCAAAAAGACGCCGAAGCGGAAGGCCTTTCCACTTTCTCAAGTAAAACTGAGGGTGGCAACCATTCTGGCACGTTTTGGCACCTGGTGAATTTGTGCCCTGTGCGAGGGCATATGTGGCACATGCCTAAGGCCGGTCCTGCATGGAAGCTCTCAGCTTTTCTTTGCATCATCGAACAAGAGACTTGCCTTGTTTGAGAACTGTCTGATGCAGAAAAAGGAATGGTATAGGCAACTCCATTTCTCCAGAGAAAGGATATCTGAGGCCATATGATGGGGCTCGGAGATGACCTCGTCGACAGGGGGAAATTGTGGCAAGACCCTTTCGGCCTTTTTCAGCCGATTTATATATAGAGCGATACCAAGGAATACGTGCTCGGTCATGAGAAGGAAGATTTGGCTACTAATAGGTGAAGAAAGGAACGAGATGATAGCACCATGAGTCGTTCTTTCATCTTAAGAGATCGCGGCTTGTTGGATCGCGAACCCTTTTACGTGATTCTTGTTCCGTTGTTTCCTCTCCTCTCCTGTCGATAATATCCTACGCCGATGGCTTCCATTATGCTGTACTAAATTACCACTTAAAAGGACAGCCTCATTGTTCGTTTCACCGAACCATCTGCATCAAGTCCATTTTTTTTAGGGTAAGGCCTAGGGATCAGGCTCAACAATCATACGTCATAACTGTGATAGAAAAGCGCTTTATCAACATGCTTAGGAACCGTGTTAAACCTTTATAAACTATTTTTTTTTAATCAATTCCTTAGTACGCAGTTCTTTTACAAAATTTCGTGCGCACAAGCACACAAAGTCCTACCTTTTCCCCAGCACCACACCCAATGGGAGCTCTTCCCTCCTAATTGTTATCGTGAGGCAGTAGTGTGAGCTAATCTCCGTAAAGTTTCCATTCTTCTCTCTCGTTCTGACCTTGGACGATCGTTCTTCCTCATTGCTGCTGCGTTTACATGTAAACCGAGAAGCAGAAGAGGAATTTCCCAGGAAATAGGTGGAAATTTTCACCGAAAGCAGCGAAAGCTAATGACTTCTTTCGAAGACCGGAAACTGAGTTGATGCAAGAGCCAAGTATAAGCATGGCAGGAAATAATCAACTCTAAGAATATCGACAGCTCATCCTAGGAAGCGCCAATAGGACAGACATGAGGAAGCTTTTTAACCTCAAGCGATGAACCACAACACGATAATCATGGTCATGCTTCCAATGAATCGAAACGTGTGGGGGACCTGGTCATCAAGTCCTTCGAGCGGGGTGGGAATGGCTGGAATCGAGGGGCACTTATCCGCTTTACTTTTCTTTAATAAAAAAATGGGAGAAGGAAGAGAAGCGCACAAGCTTGAAAATGGTTTCCATGCATTCTTCAAGTATAAATAGGATCGCTAGGATGATGCAAAAAGTCCTTAGTTGGACTATCCTTGTTCTTTACCTTGAACTTTGATGAATTGGCATGTTCCGGTTTTTAATTGAAAGTTTTACTTAAACAAAGATTCTTATGCGAGATATTTTGCACACGCGCTTTTCATAGTAAGAGCCTTTTGTGCTAATATGAGCAAAAAAAACGCAGCTAAAAAGTTTGATAGATCCAGTCCTAGTTGTCAGAAACCCTCGGGTACAAAATAATGCAAGAACCGTGCGGGATGAAGCCAGGAAATTAGTCTTTGGGGCCAGAATTGCCAGTTAAAACATATGTCAAAAAACATGCAATGTCATCCCAGGGAAGCATTCAAATCCGGAAATCATAAGATGAGGATGGTGGTGAGTTGAATTTTTAGTTAAAAAATCATCGCTCTTATCAATAGGAAAGGAGTGAATATGACCTCTTCGGTCACATTATTATGTATGTCGGAGGTTTGACCTGTCAGAAAATCAGGAATAGTACTAATGGTTTTTCCAGGGAATTAGGAAAAAGCTTCAGCAGCAGGAATTTAAACCCCATCTTCATTGTGTTCGTGCTCGAGTACGAGGATGGCGAACCGCTTGAACTTCAGATTGATCGGTCCTGAGAGATTTGAAATTGGTGTTCTTTCGATGAATGAAAAATGAAGACATTGTCGATGAACTTGTTTAGATCATATTCATAAAATTGAAATTGCTTCCGTATACGAGATCATTTTATTGTGTTATTCACATGGTTCTATTCACTCTGCCTCAGTATTGCCTTACGTTTCCCAATAAGTGAATTGAAATCATTGTATGAGGATGATACTTTCAAGTTATGGATGAATTTGAACGTCAAGACACGGAGATATTAAAGTTTTCAACTCGTTTCTCTCGCACATGTACTGTACGAAGTGCGCGTGAAAAAGTGAGGCTTACGTTAGAATCGCTCCTAGGGTATGACAATCTATGCTTATCTCTTAAGAAGAAAAGAAGAATTATTTGTGTCTTTCCTCCTTCTGTCATGGGACGTGGAACTCATCGAACTTGACTTTCATATGGTTGTATGGTTGTTGGAAAGGGAAATGAGAGTCGCATGAAACAGTATCAATAGGCAAGGTAACACCTATTCCCTTTTTTCAACCCCTTCCTTGTACAAAATGCCCCTCCTCTTATGGACTTGTAAAGCGAGATAGTGTCCTTTCTGTGGTTGGCGATGCGCCGTTTCGCTGTGAAAAATGAAATTAGTTGTTTATTTAGCCTTATCATGCGGGCTCCAGTCTCCCACGGCTGCCGGATATCGTGCTGGTGTTATGTTGGATTCATGACAGCGTCTGGTTTTGTATAGGTGCCTGATAATTCTGTGATTTTCTTAATTGTATATTTTTTTAGAGGCA